GCATGTAAGAGAACTGTTCAGCAGATTTAAGAAGGCTAATGCAAAAGAGGAATTCTAGCAATCAGACTCGCTGAAGCCTTGGCAGAATTATAATGAATATAAATCCTAATTCTATCCTCACTGCCTTTGATGTTAAATCTGGGCTTAAATTATAACTGCTGTTAATTGCAGCACTGAAATATTTTGCATAATGATGAGACTCTGTTTGTTCCTTTTACCTTATTCATTTTCATATCTGCTGAAGAAAAAAACCCAAAGCAATCCCGATCCACAGCAATATAAAAATGCAATGTATACATTAGCTCTTCACACTGCTAATCACTAAAATATCATGTCACTAGTTCACAAGCAGATGGCTCACACAACACCATAAGTGACAGACCTGATACTGCATTCCTTGCACATCTGAAAGTCTCATGTGGAATGCAAGAAATGCGAGACTACATAGTGGCTATCCTGTATTTCAGTGATGTCAAACAACTGCACATCACCACCTTCTGTCGCCACAAGGGGGAATTAAGTACTGCTGAGAATCAGGCAATTCTTAAGTACGTTGCAACTTTACACAAAACTTAGAGAACTTTGTTTATGAGAAAATCTGTTCTTCTTAAATGGTGACTCGTGGAAGAAGATGAGTTATTAAAACCATCCAGCCATTTCATGAGAAGGAATTACAATAAAAATCCAAAAAGTCCCAAATTTCAAAAAAAGCCCATACACTGTTCAGCAAAAACAACACCTAATCCCTATTAAGTCTTCTGTTGACACTAGGATCCACATTTTTAGAGCTAACCAAACTAGAAAAGAATATCTTCTACCTAAAGGAAGCAAATTCCAAAAATGTAATGTTTTCTTGGAAGGTTCATTTCAACGAATTTAAGCTCAGCCAGTGGCAGTCTTCAATTTTTTCAGGGAACAGCATGGAGTGTTCTCTGAACTTGACAATGTGATCGTGCTAGAGAAAACCTTTGATTGCAGGATGTCTATGTGGACGCCATCTGAAGTAGTAAAGAGACAAACAGTGATAACACAATGTTACCACACTAAGGTATAGAATCACAGAGTAATCCACGCTGGAAAGGATCTCTGGAGGTCTCCGGTCCAATCGCTTCCTCAGAAGGCCATCTTAGGGCACACTGCTCTAAGCTGAGTTTGAGCATCTTCAAGGATGGAGGTTCTACAATCTCTCTGGGCAATCTAATAAGAAAGGATTAAATCCTCTTCATCAAGCTTTTATGAATGAAGTACACAAATAAACCACTGCTGAGTACATGGTTAAAAACCAAAATTCTGTTAGAAATTTTTTGTGCTACACCAAATGAGAAAGGATCTAGCAACACCCTGTATTATCACACTGATAACCTGTTCTCAGGTTTAGAGTGAGACCATCCTACTCAGTATAACACACACTACAATACTGCTTGATAATTTCCAGGATAAAGGAAATGTTGTTTATATGTTTTACCTTTATTTAAGACAATTAAAGAACAATCCAAAATGTGAGCAGCAGATCTGAGTTCCACTGAGCCCAAAGACTGTGAGTTCTCAGACACACCTCAGTCCCCTCATTACCCTGCATGAGCAGTTTAATCTCTAATCTTCCCAATGCTTCTTGTGAAATAAACACGTGCTATGACCTCTTTAAGTGGAAAGTAAACACGAAGAAATTGATTGTCCTATGCAAGCTCTTAGAAAAAGGATATAGAGGGCCAGAGTGTTGAATCCAATATCCCAAACCCACCCTCATGCCCTAGCCACTGAATCCATCATCTCTCTTAAACTGAAATTTTGGGTTATCCTGATAAAGGAGCAAAATCATGCATAAGATAAAATCTCCTGGTATTTAGTGGAAGCCTCCTATACTCATGTTCCTTTGGAAATCCCAATCTAGATCCATTTGTAAACTTCAGATCCAATTTCAGATCTCCAACTGTTCAAAACCTCACAGTCATCTTCTAACAAGTACAAGAGCACAGAAAGGGCAAGGGGGTGTCAGAACATTCATTGCACACATAGACTGGTAAAGTTTCTTCTTTGAGTTAGCAGCCAGCCCATGTGGAAAATCTTTGATGCAGCATCATGAAGTGCCTGGAGCTCTTCACACAAACAGTGTGGGCAGAGAGGGCCAAGGCTGGGTTCATTTCCTGGAATGGGTTACTGAAATAGATACATCTTGATTAAATCCTTGAACAGACATGTACCTAACACTTTCATGCTTAATTGTTCATGCATTTTAAAGCATTTTAATAAGTGGATGCTGTGAACGGTGAACTAATTTAAAGAGCTCACGTTTTATGAAACTTAATTTTCATATTACTTTTGCTTACAAGCACAGAAAGATACCATTGCATTGGCAGGGACTTTCTGGTACACCTTCTGTACTGGAGGCCTATAGAGCACACCATCTAGCAGTTGGGATGCGGCTGCTCTGTAACTTTTGATTTGCTTATCAGCATGGCCTACACTCAGGACAACAGGAAAATCAGAGTTCTTCTATATCAACTGACAGAGGAGAAAATCAGATCACCACATCGGTTACAATATGAAAAGAAGGCACCCCTAGACAACGCCTTCCCCTGCAGTTACAAAGAGATTATTGACCCTAGGTTCAAAGGGGAACTTAGGTCAAAGCAGAATATGCAAATACTTGACTCAAAGAGAATCACATCAGTTTCATCACAACTAGATATTAATCAGCTGGTATTTCCTGGATACTAACTTTCTGCTCTAAGTCTCAGGCTTCCAGAACAAATTGATCTTATATTTGTAATGACGTCCCTACCAGACTGCAATACTTAGCCAACACAAAAATAAACACCGTAAAACCTGGTTTGGTTAGACAGACAAAATAACCTGTTCTTCCTAATTATCCTTAAAGGAGAGTCCTTTGGAATTATTTCTGAGTCTTCAATTTAGTCTGTTTATATTCAAGTCTTCCGAGTGATTTGGTAGACTAGACCTTTTTTCTTTCAAACACCTGTTCCTTCCTCTTCTCTTCCTTGCTTATGAACGCCCACATCTTAACCTCTTCTCATTCCCAGTTCCTTCGTTTTCTCTCACCCCAAGCAGTCCCAGAGAGATTTCACGGCTAGACTTGACTGTCTTTGGTGCCATCTACAGGCAAGCTCTGGTTTGCCACAGAAATACTCAACTTTTACCGACAGATGCTTTGTAATCTCAACGTGGTCTTCTCACAAGGATTATTTCTTGAATGTTCAGTAATTCCGACGCAATCCCAGGCCATCCTCTCAATTATTTCCTAGGAATGTGAAACAAAGGCAAAGCTAGATTCCCAAATGGAATGACTAGATCATTTAGTTTATATAGTTCAGAATAAAATGCCTTTAAAAGTAACTTGCTCAGTTGGTCTTATATAGTCCAGAAAACTTTGCTTTCACAGTGTTCAATTTACCACACAGCATGGGTTCAGAATAATACAGTTAGCACTTCTCTTAAGCATTCTTCTCTTGAAGAAATAATCAAGGGAAACTAAGATACACAAGACGATGTTTTGTCTGTATTTTCATATATATAACATTTGAAAGAAAAGACAGAAACTCTATGTTATACTGACCAAATGTTAGGCTTTATTTTAAATGTAATGGCATTGCTCAAATATTAATTACATCTGCAATGATACACCATGTATGTTCGTGTGTGTGTGTGTGTGTGAAACATTCTCCCAATGGCTTTTTACACCATTGGCCAATTTCAGCCATTCCTGAGGCCATTAAGTTCCAACAGATTTCATGAGACAGACCAGTGGAGGATCCTATTAATAACCAGTAAGAGAAAAGCTGCAGCTTAAGCTTAGCTACTGTTTGAATCCTTATAGAAGTTTATTTTTTCAGTACCAAAAGAAAGAATCAAATACCACAGATTTCACTGCTCAGTTTCACTCCTTACTGTTAACGGATGCATACTGCTGTGTGCTGCTGAACAACTGACAACCTTCATTCTATAAATGGACATATTTACTATGATGATTTAAAGTGTGCATGTGCACCATGCAATGAATTAATACTGAGCAAATGTGTTCGCTATTAGACTTTTATAGTCTAAAGTACATATTTCAGTAATTGGGTAACCAAAGCTTATATATCAGCTTACTAAAAATACTTTGTGCTGATTTAAAATTAAAGTTTTTTTCTGTGAGATTCTACTTGTATGTCAGATATATCTATTACAAATGTATCAGCATTAGTGTTACTTGAAGACTATTAGGACAATTGCAGGAGTAATGTTTCATGGGTAATTCCTATCAGGACCGAGCCCTTAAAGGTCAAAGTCTACCATGAAGATGTGCATTTATTGCTATCATTAAGCAATTAAAAAAATATATATATATTTACATTTTTTCATTGACTAGACTGAAAACAGGTGCAAGCTGAGAATATTACTTTGTATGGCACTAAACCTTATATATTGTCTAAAACACCATGCACATTCCTTTGGGATATAAATACCAACCTGATTAGCTCGCAGGTCTTGTCAGCCACAGTAACTTATCCCCTGGGGTATCTGAGCCATCACGTGGCTCTAGGACTTCTGTAAAAGGTCGAGAGGACTTAACTAAGGTCTATATAAGTCATTTATCTCCGTCATTTGAAAAGGAATTAACTCAAGAGGACTCTGAAGATCTTTTACCTTACAGTTTTTTCTGTTCTTGGCTTGGGGAAAACTAAGTGGGCAAGGTGAGTTCAGTCTTTGCTCTGGAACTTTTGAACACGTCACAATAACCCACACAAAAAATGGGCAGAAATAACCAAAGATCCCCAAACGCCATGCAGTTCTATAAATAAGTTTGGTTTTGTCCTCAGCTTGTGCACCTGGAGACTTAACTGGAGATAACAGCAAACCAGATGCATCACCTGTATCTGAACTAAAGGACCGAACAGTCGGCTCCTGCAGGGCAGCTCCCCTGGTTTGCCCTGGGACCTGCAACTGCCCCACTAATCAAACCTGGCTGTCCTCATGGAGCAGCATCAAAGAGCAAGATCAATATGAACTCTATCCAATATTATTTTTCATTTTACAGTAGCTTTGATATGGCTTTTTCTGGTATCCTGACAGAAGCTGAAATTGCCGCTGGCCTACAGAGCTGTCAAGGTAACATTTACATTTTAAATTTTGGCTTTTCAGTTTATCTGTCAAATTCCTTTGTCCTCACTACCCCAACGTCCCAATTCCAATGGAAACAGAAAAGGCTGAAAGTATGAACCAGACAGTGTAATGTTGGTTTCCTCTCCAGGGTACACGGTAAGATGTTCTTGTTATGTTTGTTTGCTAATTACAGCTTTAATTGTTTTATCAAAATGAGAAAAAAGAGGCAAGGTGTAAGTTTTAATCTTTACCAGCCAATGTACAGGCACCCATCATCACTTGTGCATTGTAGCAATTCTAAGTATGAAAATATCCAGAGGCTGAAATCCTGGGTTTTTTCAGAGAATAATAAAACTCTTGCTGATTTCAATACAAACACAATATTTACCATCAAGTTATGTGAATTTATGTTTGAGTGAAGTATCTAATTACAAATGTACATTCTTCCATGATGAAGACCACAGTCAATATTTATCTTCCTACGTTTGAAAGAACATTGATGGAAAAATCCCACTAATCTGAAATAAACTCAGGAAAACCAAAGATTGTTGATTGGGGTTTGTAATGACCCCCACTGTACTGCAGAACAGTTTGCTGCTTTTTGATCAAAAAGCTAATTTTTTTTTTGTTCCAGATCTTTAACTACTTTTCTTCATCTCTTCCTGCTTATTTCAGCTGCTGATTCGTTTGATTATAAAACCTTTTTTGTCAAAGTGGGTCTCAACTCCAAGTCCAAAGATCAGCTCAACAAAGTCTTCAGAATTCTTGACCAGGACAGGAGCGGCTTTATTGAGGAAGATGAACTGAAGTAAGTAAATGAACAAATGAGTTACCAATGGGTTTGTGTCTTATTGTCCAAAAATTCAGGACAAGATCAGAAATACTCCCTTTCCTTCTGTCTCTTTGGATGAGAAGCGGTCGTGTGTGTGTGTCTGTCTGCACATATGTACGTGTGTGTGCTTGTGCTGAAGGAGCTGCGAGACAAACAATGAAGGAAAGGCTAGATCACAACGAGAAAACACTCTGATAGCACTGAAAATACTTGTTTCATGCAGGGATAACTGACAGACTGTGAAGATAAAAATAGCAGTTCTGCTAGAGTTTTCTTTTTATTATCTCAAGATTTTTACTAGGCTGAATTCAAAGGGCTATTTTTCTCTCATCTTTATTCCTATCACATGAATTCTATCTTCCAGAACATATTCATCTGACTTTGAAGTTAAAAAGTAAGGTTAGAAAAATTTTCACCGCTCTTAAAAATCTACACCTTAGCAGAAAAGAAGGAAGATAACCCAAGAGGGAAGATGAATCCTGCCACTATGGAGTCAGTTCTAATTTTCCCTTTTTAATCCAATGAAACGAAAATGTCATCACAGATTTTTGCATGTTGTGATGCAACATCCTTTTACTTTCTTACCCTTATTCTCCCTGAAATCAGAGAAAGTTTCGCCATTAAATTCAAAATTCTTTACAAAGACCTTTTGAAATAGTCTCAAGAATTGAATCAGGTTTGGAATTTTACAGCTATTACCAACACCAAACTCTAAATTCTTTCAGTACTCAGTATGTCCCACTCATTCATATTTTCACCTTTAACAGACTTTTCCTGCAGAATTTCTCAGCCAGTGCCAGAGCTTTGACTGATGCTGAATTTCCTGGCAGCAGGTGATAGTGACGGAGATGGTAAAATTGGAGTGGATGGTAAGACTGCCTTTATTAAACGGAGTAGTATCTGTCTTTAAGACTTCCTAATGGCTAGCTCTAGGCAGCTGCTCTGCTCCATACATTGAATGTTATGGATCTGATTCTGAGGCGCTCAGATCTGCACTGTATTGTAGAGAGGATCTGACACAGCAGGTGGGCTATATTCTGCTCTTGGCTGCAGGCGGTCAGTTGCTTTTTTCATCTACAGAGATTTTTTCAGTACTGGAACCTAAATTGATGTATTTATAAAATTCCTGTATATAATTTCACTGTTTTTAATATTGAACTATGATATGATGTTAACACTGAAATGCAACGTTTCCTTTGTCTTGAGCATCTATTATTATGAGCGCTACCTTTAAGGAATGTGCTACCTTTAAGGAATGATTATCAATGTGTTCCCATTTTATTATTCTTTATTTCTTTTTCAGAGTTTCAAGCTCTGGTCAAATCTTAACAAGCAGTCAAGATAAAGACCAAGATATCTGTGCCATAAACAGCCTTTCCTACTGCAAGCCTACTATTTATTTACACATTTTGTACCCTGGAAGGTCATGAAAAATTGCTGACAAGTGATTTCATACTGCTGGAAAACATTTGAAGTAGTGCAAGCACTACTTAAACCATGTTCCCCAATGTTTTAAGCGGAAGGTCTTTCTATCACTGGGAGACTGAATTGGAATCCACTCAGCTCATCTGTATTTTGTGCATTAAAGATACTAGTAAGATATTAAGAGAAGGAGAAATTAAAAGCATCTCCGTGGGCCATTCAATTTTCAATATTTGCATAAATACCTAGCACCTGTTGTAAAAAAATAGAATTAATAAAATATCCAGGTGTAAAACCTAGTTATGGTAACTGGTAGCAGTGGTATTTAATGCTCTGTATGGTTTTATGTTATTCTTTACGCAGCTGATTACGTTTCAGACACTAATTAAACAGCAGAGCCTAGCACTAATTAAGCTGTCAATTGTAATATAAGATCAACTGTATCCAAGATGAATCTAGATTACCGAAATAGCAATACATCCAAAATTCCCTAAGGAGACACTGACCTTCCTGCCCACCTGATGGCACTATTGATCCACTTACAAGAAGTCAAAACGGCACCCCATCTGCTTGAATTGATTCAAGTCAGAACACTTTGGTATTCTGCCTGCCCACTTCTGCTGATGACTCAGTTTTGCCCGGTTAAATCACCTCTGAACGCAGAATACTAACATTTTGCTTTCCAAAGGAGGCGACCCTATGCCTCAGATCTTGGGAGCAGGATGGGGGTCTCAGGAAAGGTCTTGGCGCTAATTTGCAGTCAGGGAATAAATAACTTCTGTTGGGTCCACTTTGCACACTAAATGCCCTTTACTGCTATCCATACGGCACTAAATATCCAGCATACCAGCTGTACTGGGCAAGTTGCACACCATGGCACAGAGATGCAAAGGAGCACAGGGGCAGGAGTCAGTTCCCCCCTCTGTCAGTATGGGACTTGAAGGACTGCACACAGAGAGCCAGAGCAGAGATTCAGTACCCTTTAATCATATCAACACATTTTCTGCTAAAATGAGTTCTTGCAAGATCAATGTAATGAGTATTAATTGTTATCACAATTTGAAGTTGTTTATGTTGCATGGAAGTCTAATTAGAGAAGATGTGTTTTTACAGCCATTACAAATGCAACTGAAGGCAAAGAGAGCTCTAGTTTGGATTCAATTAGGTTTAAAAGCACTTTGAAAAATCAAGTCCCTGGTGCTCCATAATGGCAAATTGGAGCATGATGCCTCAATAATCAATGTTCTGATGCTTTTCTCCACCTCAAAACTGAGGATAACATAACGCCCACATCTCACAGGGCTGTAAAAATAAATGCATGAATGTTTGTGAAGAAAGCATAATAAAATGAAGAGCACCATAAAAAATTGTTAAGAAATTTATCTTTTTTCTTTACAGACAGACAGAAATAGCAAGCCGGAAATAAGGAATGACGAGAATGCAAAATTCTTAACAGTTGCTCATTAACTGAAGTTCACCCAGCTTGTGCACTGACTAAGTTAGGGTTCTGGTTGAAAAGTAAGACTGGCATGATGTCATCACGATTTTGTCATAATACAAACACACACAGCAATCAAATCAGGTCACAAAAATAAACTAATTGGTAACAATACCTAACTAGACACTACAGTGTATGGGGTTTTTTAGGCTTACATATGTGATAAAAATAAACAGACATCCAAACAGCCTTTCAAAAGATCTAGGTGGCTTCAACCATCTAGCACATCGTACTTCCAACATGATAGTTACTCCTATGTACTCTTTTAAGAAAATTTTGAACTCTTGAAAAGACTGTTCTTGGGCATTAATCTTGAAAAAACCTGTACAACAACTGTCTCGTACTGTAATTGTTGGAGCTATTTAAGAAGATGTTTCAGTATTTGCAGATCAAAAATCTTCATTTCAAAATTATCTGCTAATGCTATAGTGGTTCTGATGCATAACACATTTATGATAAGATATTATGGAGAAGGAAGGAAATATCAATACAATGTTGGGGAAATCATTATGTTGCACAAAATTAAAGCAACCCACAGGACTTTAATGAATACTCAATAATGTGTTTATGACATACATTAGCCAAAAATATATCTCCATTAGCTCGAATGAATCAGGCCCTAGTATTTTAGAATTTTCCTTAACAGTGAAAAAATCACATTTATGATTTCAATGTCATCTCAGGAGTGCAATAAACAAAGGAAATTCTGAGGAATTAGTAACTGCAGCCTGACTGCAGGGCTAAAACCTCTCATGATTGTCAGAAAATGCTACGTATCTCAGCTGATATTATGTTTTCTATTTTCACCATGTAATATGGGTCACAGAATCACAGAATGTTAGGGGTTGGAAGGGACCTCAAGAGATCATCTAGTCCAATCATCGAGCATGTACCAATATTAATGGCTAAATGAGAGAGAAAGGCACAGACAGCTCAGAAAACTTTTCAGTTAGCAGGCAGCTCCTTTACTTAACCACACTTACTTCCACACTGATAAGCGTGCTAGGTCAACAAATCTAAGACAATTTTACCACTTACGATTCCATTAAGAACAGTAAAAAATTAGTGACAAGATAAGTCTGGTATCAGCTTCAGTGATCACTCCAGAAAGTTAAGAAGAGCTTATGACTAGAGATGGTTTTAGACTTTTCTTTCTTTCAGTATTATCACTAAGCAGATTGGTGGAGAAAATGCTGGTTTCTGTCTACAAGAATACACTTTCTTTCTTTTCCTCTCTGTCTCACTCACACAGGCTGTCAGGTACTGCGAAATTTCTGTAACTGCTTATCAATGTGCTTTAAGAAAGCTCTTCAAATTGTGCCTGTCAGCCTACAGCTGGAAAGACTGCTGCATGATCATAAACACACATTCCCATACAGCTCCCTTTAAGTGAAGAACACTCTTCTGGAATCGTAAGTTTGGAGGTCTGAGACCATTGTATTCTGCAAATGTTTATATCCAACCCTTTCCACCAGTCCTAAATGTGTGGTTGCCTTTTGTCAACGGAATTTTGTCACATGCTTTACACATGTGTTTTAAGCACTTGTCTGAATCTAGACACCTGCTTCTCCTTTATTTAGAAGGCCATTTCTGTTAAACAAGTGACTTTTGATGATTACTTATGATAAGGTTAACTCTAATTATAGGGTATTTTTACTTTATACCTCACTGACGGTTATACACCCTCCTACTGCTGAAATTAATGGCATAAATCCCACTGACATCAATGAGGACAGGCAGTGAACATAGAAATAGTTGGAGTCACTTCAGTGCCTTTTGCTTTATTTTACCATGGCTTCTTACACTGTGGGTCATAGCGAAATACAGCCATGTGCAAAAAGCCTTTGGTAACAGTATAGTACCACTGTACGTATCTTTTACATGTAACAAAAGGCAGCATCCAGATTATTTCACAGCCTCCAACCTTAAGGCACAGTTATTCTTAAAATACACAGAAAATCTGGATGATTTAGACGGCTAAAGATCACTCCATCTGACACTGCCCATAAAGCTGACAGAAGATAGAAACATCTCAGACAATTACATTTAGAGTCAGAGACAGAAAATTGTGTCATTGAGTCACAGAAGCACTTGCAAGTGCACTTAAAGACAAATGCATAGCATATCAAATGCTAGCAGAGATCTTCCAGGACAGCTTTTTAAGTGAAAAAATGTCCTGATCAGACCAATCTCTATGAATCAGTTACGCTATTAATCAGTTATGTCAGTCTATTCTGCTGTCAGAATGATAAGGATATGATTTAAACTGGGAAAAGTACACAAGACATTTCTCCTAACATGAGAGAAGTACCTGTCTTTGCTGCTCCAGACTCACAGTGCTGCAGGATGTATCTTGTGTCTTGGATTCTACAGTCCAGACCTCTCCTCAGTGCTCTGGGTAACATCCTCTACTTGCTACAGAGAAAGCTAGCTTTGCCACCAAGGCTTGCAAGGCCTGGATTTCATCCTTCCTTGTAATAATGCACAGTACCAAAAAAGTCAAATACTAAACTATGTTCTTAAACTTCTCTGTTAAATATGGTAAGACTATGGCCCAAGCAACCATTCAGTTGGGATTGTGTAATTATTTCTGTATGATTAAAGCGTGTGCCTTAAGAGAGAACTTGAAGTAGCAGGATATAACTCATTTTGATGTAAAGGCCCTTTTCAATGATTACAGCTATATTCACACTAAGATTCTCTGCTGTCACCATTGAGACATCAACATTAACGACCAACCATATTGGTTACTGAGTATCTATTAGTTACTCCCAAACTCATTAGAAAGGCAGAATCTGTTATCCAGGATCATGATACAATTGTTCTGGCCCTAACACAACCAGGGCTGAAAGATGGAGTTGTGTGGGTTTTAGAACAGCTGCTACAGCATCTCTTTACACTACTGTAGTTGGTCTCAGGTCAACACCTCTCCTCTGATCTTACCCAAGAGAACCGCTGATGTTTCTTTTGCGTCTGCTTGAAGTCATGTCTTTGGTCAATCGCCACTGCTAATTAACTCTGTATGTCATACCAAACAGAACACAAAGAGTACAAGACTAGTCCACGCTCTGTCAACGGTTCACCAAAACACAAATTTCCTCTGCTTATTAGTGAAGTGAATGATACTTGACCTGAAAACAGTTGTTTTACATGTTTAGATTCCTAGCAAGAACTCATCAGTATGAATGTTCTGTATTTCTCAGAACTACACTTTCAAGTTTAATTCTGGAAGACCAAAACAAACAAAAAAAGTGGTTTTAACATTGCTGTATATACGGTGCATAAAGACACTTTGGAGGAAAACAACAGAAGTAAAATTACACGAGTACATAAATCTTCAGATTAACTACTCAGTAGCACTTTCAGATGTCCCTAGTAAAGCAAAACAATAAAAACAAGTTAAAAAAAAACCCAACCCACCCCATATTTTTTCTTGAATTTCATAGGAACAAGTGCTAAACATTCCTGGAAATTGTGCAATACTCAGATTCTGTACCAGATTTTGCACTATTGCTAACTGCCCATTACCTAGCAGCTGTTGTTCTCATTGAGTTACTAGGTATTTTCTTTATAGCATTACCTTGCTTGCATATCTTTTAGAAAATTTCTTTTACAGATCTCAGTTTTTGAACATCTAAACTGATTACAATCACCTCAGACAAGACATACCCCGCAAGTAAAGAAAACAGGTAATTTAGCTGTAAAATAGATTATCTAATTAAAGCATCCCTTTATACAACATACTCATCCCTGATTATTTAATTCTAATTGTAGTGGAGGGAAACCTGTACTTCAGATGAAGTGTCATTAATAAATAAATAAAACCCAGTAACCCTAGATTCCCACCTGTATCAACATACAGTGACATCAACTTGATTCTGAAATTCAGCACTTTTAGGCTTTTGTAAACCATCTTTCAGCCAGGATTAGCATCACTTTTGTTGTCAGTATTGAATTTCAAACATTAAAACATCCTTTCAATAAGCAGTAATAGTGAACTTACTGTAGCAATTAGCTCATTTTTGTAAGAGATAATATTTTAATATAATACTAATTCAGGCTACTTTACTACTGCTAAACATGTGTTAAGAACAGTTTAGCACCCTGCGTGCCATGACAGAGTGTATGAGGTAACGAGACGCCACTCTGACCATTTAGTGCTTATATTTTAATACAATGCTTGAATTAGCTGCACACATATTTTGAGCTTGAGTATTACATGCTCACCTTGATCTTGAAATTTACCTCATTTCAATTTTCTCATTCTCATTAGCTTTTAAAAACTAGTGTTGTATGGCAAGTCAAAAACTGCTTGTTCAAGCAAGCAGTTCAACGAGCATCGTTTAGGAGCAAGCAGAAATAAAGGCAGTCTACTATAAAGCAACACCTATGGCACTATTACAGAGGTCTAAAGAAAGGCTTTTCTCTAGTAAAAATGTCAAGAGGAATCAGTAAAAAAACTTTCTGTTAAAACTCATATCAATTTGAGATGATCATAAAGGATAAAATTCACAACAGAGTGCAAAAAGGCACCTATAAGAATGAAAGCTATTTCAGGATGATTCTGTAGAAAGCATTGTACGTGCTTCATTCCCACCATCTGATAGATAATAATATCATGATAATCTGAGACAGAAATCAATATGAATATATAGTACTGAACGAAGAAGATAAATGGAAAGAACACCAAAAGACCTGAGAGCAGATCTTCAACTTGTACAACTCAGCATTGTTCAATTTGTTTAATCAGAAAATACTAATTTACAGCAGCCCATGGTTCTTAGGTTTAACAGGAAAGTGTTCTTCCAGATTACTATAAACAGTTTTCCTACTGAGAGCGACAGAAGAGAGCATTCTTTCATTACTGGACAGCTGATACTTGGAATCAAAAGTAAGTCTGATTATTTGTGATTTATGCCACCTTCTTCTGGTACAAAGGAGATAGCAAAAAAGGTAAAAGTATCATGAAATTATGTCTGCTTTTTTGTGTTAATTATACCTGATATTTCTCCATCCAAACTTAGACAAACAGGTGCTACGGAACAATTGCTATGCTCGATAATTTTCTCACTGTCATTAAACCAATCAGGAGTAAAAGCCCTGTAGTCCATTAACCTACACTCAGGCTTAGATACATGACTACTCTGCTCCACAGCACGATTTTTAACTTTTGCTACTACAAAAAATATTACTTGTTCAGCATACCGTGCTATTTCCATTCATTACAAAATAAAACAATGCTCATATATCAGAAGAACATTACTTTAGATACCGTAATAGACTGTTATAGAAGAAACTCACCAAATTACATGTGTTGGTCTTCATCCTAGAATTTAGTCCGCATAAACCCCCTTAAAGATGGAAACAGATTTCTGACTGAGAAGGAAAACCTCCTACCTGCTATTTCAAATTTTCTTAATTTTTTTTTTCCAAAATTAATGTTTTTGAAATATATAATAAACCCCCACTTATTTATACCTACAATTTTAATTTCATATTAAGGAAACAGATTGCGAGAGTGTGTGTTGCAAAATGTATGTAAATCAATCTCCACACTAAAGCAGTCTGATTCCTACAACTTCAAGTAAGTCTGTTATTGACTTCATGTAATTTATAATATTTAAAATAGATTATTAAGTAGGCCATATGATTACACATAATTTTCCAAGGAATACAGACAATGAGATTAGCTTATTCAGCTTTACCTAGTTTCAGAGTTTCGCTGTCACTGAAGGCTTTGGTTTCTGTTCTACTCCTGATTAGGGACAGCACCGTAATTTAGAAAACAGTCAGGAAATACGAAATTAATATATAATTACTGTAGAAATTATAGCATGCTTCCCTCTATCCTAGTGACAAGTTGTCTTTGTCAGAATGACACATTGTCACCTCTGATCTTTCATCTCTGACTTACATTCCAAAGGATAAACAGCCTTAGGGAAACCAAACTAGTTTCTTTTCATAAGGACGAGACTGCTGGAGTCATCTTCCGATGAGCAACTTCAAGGTCCAGAGGTTAACTGAAAATCTTTAGCATGCTTGGAGATTGAAAGGCTATGTTTTGATGGCAGACTTGTACTTAACTAAGCACAAGTGGATTTATTAAAAAACCTGTTCTTCTTGTCCATATTACCTTAGAATATAAATAGAAAGAAAAGTTTAATTAGTTAAGGAAGAAATTTGAGCTAGGTCTCAAATCAAACATTTGATCCCTGAAACAGTAACCTAAGTAGTGGTTATTGTCACCTTTTGAATCCTTTATAAGCCAGAGTGGCAAGCCAGAGCCAACATTACTATTTTGCCTGGTATCTCCTCAGCTATTTTTCCTTTACCTAGCTGAGAAAACTATAAAGGTGAGCAGCCGACTTGAGATTAATTAAATGAAATTACTGTGCAGAGCTGCACCAGTAGTAAGTACAATAACCATTGTTCTAAGATTTTTATTTTAATTGCTGGAACTACATGTGGATGGACCTTATATAGATAAGTATCAGTTTTCTTTTTATTCTTCAGAGCTGTTGGGGGAGAAAACAGAAGCAAATCTTCTTGACTTTCTTTTTTTGCACTGCATATATTGTTATTTGTATTGCCATTAAGACTAATTATTAGATTAACGGTTACATAGAGTTTAAAAATGTGCTGTACTCAAATAGGATGCAGGTAAACAATAAAAAATTGATCATCAACTCGCAACATCATTTACGTAATCCATCTCATTAAAAAGTATTATTTCAGCACTGCTGTTTTTAAGGAAGTAATGTACTAACTCTTCTAATTTGTTTAGGAATAGCAGGGATGTCAGTTTGATCCATTAGATTAATCTACCCTTAGAAGTCTTGTTAGCCATATCGTATTCCTCAAAACACAGAAAAAACAATTTGTTGTAAGATGCATTTGTGTTTCACAAATCTGTTTGCAATATACTATTTTGCACAGGTTTAAAATGAGCCTTACAGACATTCTAAGCCCTTCTGATATTGCTGCTGCTCTGCGAGACTGCCAAGGTGAGAAAACAACTAAAACTCTAAAAATCTATTAATTTGTGTAACATGTGGCAAGTTTCACTCAGTCCCAAAGGAATACCGAACAAGCACATATGTAAATGGATTTCTGTAATCTCTTTACCTAGCTGTCAGAGTGTATTTGTTCATCCCTGGTTTATACTGTCAGTTTGTAACTTAACCACATGTGATTTTTTATGTTTCGGAGGGTATGGTGCAGTATGGCAAAATTCAGTCTTTGACAGGCTTTACCTATAGTTCATGTTTAGAAAAATTAAAATGTAACAAAGCAGCACCCTCAGACCATTTAGGAACAGTGAATGCAGTGGTCTGGGGTTAATTTATTTATTAATTTATTTTCAGCTCCAGATTCCTTTAGTCCCAAGAAATTCTTTCAGATCAGTGGGATGTCTAAAAAGAATAGCAGCCAGCTCAAGGAGATCTTCCGGATTCTTGACAACGATCAAAGTGGCTTTATTGAGGAAGATGAGCTCAAGTAAGGATTTTTTAACTATTTAAATGCTATCCAAAAATCAGCACTTTTTTCTTTCCAGAACTGTTCTGGCAGTGTGAGCACAAGTTACGCTAAATATTGACAAAACCTTCAGCAGATTGTGAAAGGTGTATTGAAGTAGCTAATCCCTACGGAGAAAAACAAATTAGTAAATACCTACCTTTAATGCACAGTATAGAAAAAAATAACCCCCTGGGGCTGGGTTTTGGTAAGTGGGCAGAACCTGCTCTATCATGTCTGGACTTACAAAACAGAAATGTATATGACTAAGATATAGCTTGTCAAACAAAGCAGTGTTTGGAGGACTTGGCTATTGTGGTAAATAATTTATTTATAGATAGCTATCAGTTTGATTATACAGCAAGCGTAAAAGAATAATATTCTGTGAAAATCATAATCAAAGTTGTTTTCTTCCTAGGTATTTCCTTCAGAGGTTTGAGTGTGGAGCCAGAGTGTTAACCACCTCAGAAACCAAGACCTTCTTGGCAGCTGCAGATCATGATGGGGATGGTAAAATTGGGGCTGAAGGTATTAACTAACTTATATACAGAATAAGGCTCCTCAGGATGTGTTGTAACGATGTGTGGTTCTCATTTATGTAGATGGTACATTAATGTACGTCCAGCAATTCTACTGAAACCTTGCAGTGGCAACCTGTTTAAGGGTGGAAACAGTCCCTGATCTCGCAGGTTCATCTCTGCAACTCCTTTTGCACAACCAAGTCAAAAAAACTCACCTACGCTGCCCTAAGGAACTTCCTATGACTCACAAATTTCCAATTGTTTTGAAAGGAGCTGCCCCTTATTTCTCCTCCCACTTACTCTGATGTAAGACAGCACCGGCATCACTTGTAACACACAAATGTAAAATCAAGGACAAAAGAAACAGCTCTAGAGAGCAGAATCAAGAGCACATGCATCGGCTCATCTACAGCAGTCACCTCCCAGCAGAAATTCCAGTACTCAGTGAAATCATTCACAATATGAAAGAGCTAGCAGCACATAGTTCAATATTTGTTTTACACAATAAGGAGAACAGAATGATCTAGTGTCACCACCCTGACACGAGATCCCACAGCAGGCTCTGTGCATGGGGATGGATACTATTTATCTTCAGTGGCAGGTTAAGGACCAGATAGGAAGCAGCAGCTGTTTTAGGAAGCAGCAGATTACACTCACCCCGTAGAAATGTCAGTGTGATTTAATGGCTGCTCAGTGCAGAAACCTCCTGATCTCCTAATTCCATATTTCTGTGTCCCATTTTGAGCAGGAAGCACATACTCACACAAAAGGCTTGCAGCCAATGACAACTCACCCCATGAGAGAAGAAAGCTGCCTAGACGAGCATGAAAGGGGCTTAGGGAATAGCACGCAGGGAATGTGCTGGTATGCAGATTCCCGAGCTCACTGCGCTAGGAGGACAGAACTCCTCTGTTTCTTTCTTTGAAAGGAATTAAATCCAGTTCCTTAGGAAATGTGCCAGAATAAACACACACGATTTATGAAGCAATCTATATACTAATGGAGTTGTTCACGGACAGGACTGAACAGATACTCTAACTCACAGAAGCCAAACCATTAAAGATCTTCCAAATAACGAGATCTTATTGTACCACACAATACTTCAGTAGCATACCACGTGGAACTGCACAATGCTTTTGGCTTTAGACTGTGCTCTAAATCAACACTTCTCAACTGCTGAAGCATTACAAACAGCTAGTGACACATGGACTCACTTTTACTTCAGCTATTAACTACCTCTTACTCAAATTCCGTATTAGCCACTACATTATTTTTGCCTAAGATCAGTATCATGCAGAGAGAAGGCTATAACTGCCCTGAACATTTTATCATTCCTTATAAATGTCAGCAAAACACTGCATTTCCATCTGTTGTCTAGAAGATGATGCTTAGGCAATGTCTCTCTTCCATACGCTTCTCTGACATCTATCAGGTAATTGTTTTCTGTTAATTCCTATTCTAAATCTCTTGATAGGCCACTAATCTTCTACTCCTTTCATTTTAATATTTCTACCATAAATATTCTCTTATCTTTCACAGAATTCCAGGAAATGGTGCAGTCTTAGAGGTTCAAAAGCACCAAACAAGATAGAATTGGGATGAATCTGCACAAGACACTCCAAAACCTTGAAAATTAGGAGTCCCTGATTTATCTTGACAGTGTCTGTTATTTGTTCATTGCCTTAGCAACATAACGAAACATTGATTAATGATTTTTTTCATTGTGTGGACCATTTACCATGTTCTAAACCCTATTTTAGCAGACACTTCCCTTAAAAATACCCAATAAAAATTAATCATATACTGTAGCTTGTGTCTGTTTTTCTGACTGCTAAACTGAAACATGTGAATTCTTAAACTAAAAGCGTTAATCCCTCCAAGATCTTGATCTTATCAGACCTTCATATATCGAACACCTTTTGAAATCAGTGGGAGTTCTGTTTACAATAGGCCTTCTGGATTAGGCTTGAAGTCTCAAAACACTCAGATCTTTGTCAAAGACTAGGAGCTCAGATATAGTTGTGAGGTAGGTGAGGATAAAATCTCTCACTGACTTCCAGATGAAAAGCAGTCATACATTTTTGCTTAAGAAGGCGTTTCTGCACGAGCTTGTTGCAGTTGCCAACTGCTCTTTTTACATTAGCCAATTAAGAGAACAAGAAAGTAAAAATCACATGCTTTCCTGCAGAAAGAATTAAAAGGAAAGCCTATGTGGACTTGAGGTTTCAGATAACTGTGAGACTTTAAAACAGCAGAGGGGAAGCAAAAGATATCGTCTTGGTGGCATCTTCTCTACATAGAGGACTAAAAGTGTGGAGGAAGAATTTGTAGCAATGCATGCTGAGGAAGCTCCAAGGTAAACTACCTGGCATTGCTGGGCTATATTTGCTGTTTTAAAAACGTCCTTCACAAAAGCATCCATCTCTGGGGATGCTGAAGAAATGTCCTTTTATGAACAAACAATTCAGTCATTCGAAAAGAGAGATGTTCAGATGCTCTGATGGAGTACTCACATATTCACTCACTTTCTCACCTTAACAAGTGCTATATACGGCAGTTCACACACACGCAGTAGGACTTGCAGGAGTCACTAGAACACAACAGAAGCCTTTTCAGCAATGTGAATGGTTTTGTCACTGCAGTTTCAATGCATTTCTTCCTTTGCTGCAAACGACTACATTCAAAATTAACTACATTTTTTTTCTTTTCAAAGTCTCTATAAATACTGGTAATCATGCACAAAACCACCAAAACCAGAGCTGAATTGTTTATGAGATAACCAACTACTGCTGAGGAAAAGACTAAAGATGTCTTGTGAGAAGGGCTACATATCTTTCAGAGCAACGAAGTTACCAAGACAGAGTCCATATGGCTAATGCTTCAACATGCTAGGCCCTTTCCTCTCTCCCAACCTGTATTTCACAAACCTAATAAAACAGTGATTGAAAAATTCCTGTTGGCCTCAAACATGTTCACCGAAGCAAAAGCTGTATAATAAATTAAAATTCTCCTTTACTCACTGTAAGGAAAAGTTCATAGAGTGCCATCCTCCAAGACACTCCAGACAGCTGCACCAATACAAATTCCATAATGATTCATCCACAGGTACTCACTTCTATGTCTTCTCTACAGCCATCTACTCTTCTGGGAGCCAAGTACAGGACAGCCAGCCGAGAAACATCTACTGCCTTTAAAAAAAACCATGTATATATTAATACACAATTCTTAACAGCTGACAATTGAAAACAGAAATTTTGTCTCATTTCAAAATGTTTTCAAGTCGCTTAACTTGGTCTACAAGTTGTAAGCTGGTATGCTCAGTACATGTGAGAATTGAATATGGTCATAATTTTTCATTTTATTGTGCAAAAATAATACAAGCTGATAAAAAATGAACATAGAATTTTAATAATATTTCTTAAAATTACAAAATATGTTCACCAGGCATAAATGACTAAAGTATTGGTGACTTAAACAGAGCTACCCAGGTTTACACAAGCTGAGGACCTGACCCATGAGGATCTGATCCATGGAGATTCTCATAGCACAAGATGGATGTCACAGGATATTCACAAGAAATAAAGTGTGTTCTTGGCAATGAAACCAGTGTGATGACAGAAGGGTCTTGGAGCAGTTCACATGTAAGTAACAAACAAATCACTCTCCATTTCACTGACAAGTGTCCTGACCTTGACTAATCAGGCAGGCAGATGCATGTAAAATAAAGAATTTTCCAGTCGCTGTTGCACTCTGAAATCTAGCTCCTCTCAACATCTCAGACTTTGCACCATGGACCTAGGCAAAGAAACCCAGAGGCAAAGCACAAATTCTGTTATTCCCCACTAAGATGCAACACATTGCTGGAGCAGGTCGCTGGACAGAGATGGACAGATTTGTACAGTGCCCTGGATCACAACAAATCTGCGAGTGAAATTAGAACTTTCTTCATCTCCCAGAAAGAAGAATATATCACAGTTGTCTGCATCTGAAGTTCCTGTAAAACATCTGAACTACAAAATATACTTGGGCAAGGAACAAAAAGACTAGGGAAGCACTTCTTGGCCTGACACATAGACTTCTAACTAGTTTGTATGTAAAGGCTTTAGAAAAATCTTGTTCATCATTACTAATCCAAAAAATCTGTCAATTGTTCGTTTATAGCTTATTATTATATACAAGTTCTGCACCACAGCACCAAACAGGAAAAATACAACCCACTCACTCTGCTTGAGATATTCTGAGATCTAACATCCAAAGTATTGCAGTTAAAGGAATCTTTCCATGCATTTCCATCAGGAATAAAGTACCTTAAAAACCCTTAATGGTACAGCAGCTACTCCAGCAGATTACTGCTCTCTGTGGGAGAACATTTTAAGTAAAGGAAAATGTCAACTCCTAGGATTTCTGAAGTGGAAGAAACTTTTAAAGTTAAAGTAACTCATCACTTCCATGGAATCCTTGAAACGCTAAATCATTTTTTTGAATGCTCTTGTAAAACGTGTGATAGTGATAACACAAACTGGACTTACTCACTGACAAAGATACCTGTCTGCTCCATCGTCTAAACCAAAATGCTATTGGTAAGCCTTCTTCTAGAGACATGGTACCTAGAATTCTAAGTGGACACTTGTAATTGAGAAAGCTCCTGGGCAGGGCTTTATTGGCTGATAAGGAAAACCTAAAAACATTTACCATATTTAACCA